CACGAAGATGAATGATGTTTGGGAGGACTAATATGAAGCAAAGGTATTTATTTCGTCACGTAATTCCTTCACCTTGAAGATGCAATATCAGGAGCATTTGTTCTTTTTGTAAACAACCAAATTCTGAACAAGGAGCCTTGCTTGAAATTTTAACAGGTCCTCCACGAGTGACCTCTATGAGAGTCATTTGGAAGTCGCCTGAGGGGCGGTACGACCGCCGCAGGTTTCATTTTTTTGCAGTTGTTAATTTTAACACATGAACTTTTCTTCAATTATTGTAATCAATCGATAGCTTGTAAAACAGAGATGTATTCTTTCTTGATGAGCTTACGCGAGTTTGATAAATATATCCATTTTCGGCAAACGTTTCGACCTCTTCGTCTTCATCAGAGCCGGTGATCCCAGTCGATGTCTACGCTTGTTATTGGTCTCGTTATGGCTGCTTCGCCTTCGTGTCGAGTCAGGTCTTCCTCAGCAGGCCATCTCATCGAATGACGCATACTCACTTGCTGATGCCCTTTTATACACGATGCTGGTGGTCGATATAACTATAATGTCCGGTCATAACTTGTTGTTCTTCCGGATATTGCATCATGCAAAAGTCGGTGTTATTATCAGCTAGTACAACCTCACTTAAGCTCATCATGAAAAAATACACATTGATTAGTCACACCGAGATCAAAGGAAAGTTGCTTTCGAAACAAATTTGTTGGACGTTGGTCGGGAAAAGCTTTATTGTGAACGTAGGAATGTACAAGAAATCGTTTATCGAATGAGTTAATTGACCAGAAATCCAAGTGGTAACGGACTATTATTTTAGTTCCCGTTGGGTTGTATATTGCACATTACCTTGTATGGTGTGCGGGTACAAAACTCGTGAAAAAGAAGTACATGAGTTGCCAAAGACTTCCAAATGCTGAAAGCAGTGTGTTCGCACGATGGACCATAGTAGAGTGTAGTAAATAGCACCATGCACATCATGCTTACCCATAGAACGACAAGGCAAATATCTTCTACAATCATCACCTGTAGTTCTGTTGATGGTCGAGTGACTCGAGCGGAAGCCAGCAGATCTTCCATTTTTCCCCGTTGCGTGCCAAAGTAACCCAGTGGATTCTGCTCGCTCTAGGGACTCGTTGAGCATCATATCTTTCTTCTAGTCTTTTCGTGAAAAACTCTGGCCATCGGGTAGATGGTCTTTCTGCGGTACGTTTGACATCCCGAGGGATCCAGTCACTAAGGGCTCTCGTCTATCGGCTGTCATTCATACGCATTACGTGTCTGGCACACCTTGTCTTCGGCTGTTTGGCGTACAGAACGACATCTTTGATTTCTGATCGTTGATCAACAATAATATCATGTTCAAAGCCAACGAGCCCTCTGGCTGTCGAAAAATCATTGCTTATTGTCGGAAAACTGGTAGGTCCGTAAAGGCTCAAAATTAGGCATCGTACGTTGCGGCAGATAAGCGAAATAAAGTGTTGTCTCAAGCGAGAGTGCTAACCTCTGTGCGAGCTTTATTCGATTTATTCTCAACGAACATTCCCACTACTTTGTCTTCCAGTTCATGGCAGCTGTTCACTTTGTTGTTTTGACTTTATGCGTTGTTTTTCTTGCGAAGGACGTAACAGCTGCTATATCGATAATACTGGAAGAAACATTTAAACAATCACATACATCCACCACCACTAAGCGGTGCCTAGCTTTACCTCCGTCACTCTTTCACTTTTGCAAAAATCCACCTCATAAAACATTTTGCCTGTTTCTCACGTTTCCCTTCGTTCTTCTGTTAAAACATGTGCGAAAGATGCTGTTTGAGTTGTGATGATCGGCTTCGTAACGTAACGGGTAATTTCAATAAACGTGCTCACCATAGTGCATGTGTAACGTATTGGTTGAGATGTCGTGCAACAAACACGTTGTTGTTGGTTCTATCCCGTGCTACCAGCCCACTTAACAGAGGATGAATCGCTAAGGTAATATGTTGCAAAGTCCCTGTAGGTCATTGTATATGCGAAATAGACATTCATTCCTCTCCGCAATGGCTTGCAAAAATATTTTTAAGCGCTAGGTTTTTTAGCTCAGGCTGTGCGACGTTAAAAAAAGGATAAAGCTCTCGGCGCTGATCAATCCCTGAGGGATGCGCCATGCATTCGACTTCATTAAGTATCGCTGGAGGTGATTGAATGCATATCTGGCTTTTACAATGACTCGCAGTGGCATACCGATGTAACGAGCGTATCCTCCCGGACAAGTCGGTACCAATTTGCCGACCCCGGAGGATGTAGGGCTTGGTGGACCATGGGCGCAGGGATCGATTCCATGTGTGTGTCACAGCGGAGCCTCCAACCACTGCGCTACACACGCCCTATGCGACGTTATCCTGAGTAAATCTTTGCTCACCGTGCACTTGTTGTAAGATATAGGCTGAAATCTTATGCATTTCAAAGAAACCATTGAATGCGGAGTTATTCTTCTTGTTTAAGCGGCTTTGAGGGTCGATCAGTTCGAAGAGCAGCGTTATTGGAAAAACAACCTTGCAAAGTAGTTCTGACCCTTCGTTGTAATATTCTCCAATGTTCTTCAGCAAGTAGAATAGCGGGCCTTAGCCTTTTAATTTCCAAGAATAGACTTGTTCACGTAGAACTGATAAACACTACTGTGTTGTGACCATCACTAACTAAACGCTCTGCACGAACCTTCGAAGGAAACATCCGGAAAGTGTTATGTGAAGTCTGGAGTAGCGCAGCCAAGTTCTTCTAGCTTTGGCTCCAGCACAATTTCAATATAGTGAGTCACTTACGATTCCAAACAGATAGATGTTTTAACTCCCACGTTCGACTTTCTATTAACTTTCCTCGGCATTGATTGCGTGCCTAGCGGGGTATTTGGTTTACGTTTCCCGACTAGGTGCTCCTTTATGCGGACACGGAGGGTTCTGCCCGTTTCGCCAATGTATTCGTCTCCGCACGCCTTACAGGAGATTAGATAAAATATACCCGAGCCCATGCAATCACCGTGCTTACCCTTGGAGCAAACTATGCAATTTTGTGTTGCACATAGACGCTCATATAGGCGGTAACGAACTAGCTGGCGCCTAAGATTACTCGGTGGTATTTCAACTACGTTTTTTGCCGGCAAATAGTCATTTCCAATGGCTACGAAACTGTAGCTCGAAATAGGTGTAGGAAAAATCTTGAGCCCTCAAACGACAACTCTAGCGATGGAAAGGTTCCGTTCATCCTAACCTTTATCTCAAATGATGTAAGTGCAGCTATAAAACGCTGCTCAAGAAGGGCAGGTCTAGAGAATTCCGTAAACGTAGTTGAAATGCGACCGAGTAATCTTAGGCGCCAGGTAGTTCGTAACCGTCTATCCGACCGTCTCTGTGCAACGCAAAAATGCATAATTTGTCCTAATGGTAGAGACAGTGATTGCACGTGCTCGGGTACAGTTTATCTGATCTCCTGTAAATCGTGCGAAGATGAATACATTGGCGAAACGAGCAGACCCCTCTGTGTCCGCATAAAAGAACACCTAGTCGGGAAACGTAAACCAAATTCCCCACCAGGCACGCATATCATAAGACCCAGAGATATAACGCGGAGGACTTCGAAGTACGTGTCACGATCCTCGCACAGGAATCAAGAACGCAAACGCGCAAAACTCTCGAGGCGTTCTGGATTAATTCCAAAAATCCGAAAATAAACCGCAGGGAAGAATGCCTCATTAATACTCGTGATGTTGGGAAGTATATAAGCCTGTTATGCTGATGGGAGGAGCACATTACGCTTCCATGTGAATTCTGTGCGGTTGGTCTTCACGCGACATACTCAGTGGAAGACCCATAGAAAGCGGTGAGTGTGCGGAGCTGTGTTAAATGTGATTGAAATCTTGGTTTAGCGTTTTCTCTGTTTGGTTATGGAGGTGTTTGGCCGAGTGGATTGCTGTCAACATGACTCTTCCAGGCTCTGAGGAAGGCGAAATCCGCCGGAACGTCAGCTTGTACGTAAATAAAGAAATAAAATAGCACCTCGTGTTTGCTGAACAGACTGAAGTAGAAAGATGGATGTTTTCTGTTTTTCTTGAGGAGCATACACGATGTTGTTATTAGAACACCTGTTAATTCACTATAGCTGACGTCTCGGTGGTTCTTCACTCTTCAGAGTCTGGGAGGGTCAAATCGACATGCATTCAGTACAGTCAAACACTTTCGCAACCTCAGCAGACAAAGGAAGCAGATGAATTTCCATTCGCATAACAGGAATTTCCTTTTAAATACTCATCGTTTGTTCCGTGCTTGTTCACTAAGAAAAACAGTGAATAATATGATGTCTACCTAGCGTAACATCTACATCCCTGTTTCCTTGTTTGTCAAACATGCAATGGAATAATTCTAAATAGATTCTACGTCCAGTATTTTTTTGCTGTAGTTTTTTGAAATTATCCGAAATAACACGGCGTGCAGTTCAATGCACTTCCTCCATTTGAATCATTGCCTCACATATAGCACCCAAAATAGCTTTAGAAGTTTTGCGTGTGGGTTAGAAATGTCCTTAAGGGTTCACCGAGTCGTTCCTTCCTGGAATCCTGCGATAGTGGCGCTAGTGCGCTTTCACATGGATTGGAGGGAGTGGGATGATCCCAGACAAGTGCAGTAGCAATTGGCCGAATCGAGAGGGAAGACAGGCTTTTTGTGCTCCAGCCGAGGTACCCCAGCTCCTATTTTTGCTTTCAATGAGTGCACCTATTCTGTTCAATAAAGGCTATATCCGTTTTTTGCCAATATAGCATACTTCTGTGTTAGTTTTCTCATCACTGAAACGAAGAAATTTAGGCAACTTCAAGAGGCTACCCTCATATTGGTTGTAACCTTATGCGAAATCTTTTAGATGTTTTACAAGCCTTTATTTTGAAATTTTTCATGTCCGTGTAATTGAGTAACAGAAGAGTTTTATTAAACTGCAAGTAACGAACCATTTCTGAGCTTTCTTTGCAGAATGTCGAGAGCATTGGTGTTGATTTTGTTTACTCTGGCTGCTCTTCATGCCTATCCAGCAACTGGTGGTCTTGACGTAGAAAATCTCTCAGCTGGTGGCAAAAAATTCTTCATGGATGTGAGTTCTTCAAATTTATCGCCATCATCTCGAAATGTTGTAGAGGTGCTGGTGAAATTGATCAATACAGTGATTGAGGGTTAAGCAAAATCTGCTTTTTTAATATCGTAGTTGGTTTTGTACCACTCTCCTCACCATATGGTAATATATGGTAATTGAGAATATTCAGATGACCAAGCAGGTGATGGGCGTGCCATCGCTGAAGCCGGAAAATCTTGCCGCCCAATCGTTCTTCCGTAGCTTCCTCGACAAATACACAAAACTTGACGATAAGGTCTGACTTTTCTCTCAGTAATAACAAACACTATGTGAAAAACTTTACAGATAAAAAAATTTATAGTTAGTTTTCAATGAGGTGTAGAAGAAACTTCTATACACTTTTGGTTTTGTGCGAATTAGCGCCCGAAGAGGCTCTCAGTGCGTGCTCTTTGGTTGGATCCTGGCGCCTCAGACAAACATTTCTTTTCATACCTCCATGAGAAGAATTAGTAGCAGATTTATTTAAGAAGATTTAAAGAACTGGTATATTGGTTATGTCTTCGCTAGCGATTCTATAGGCTAAATGCGAATTTAAGAACATTTGCTGTGATGAATGAAGACCAATGCATGACATATCTTAAAGTACGATTCATTCTAATAGTAATATCATCCAAGCTTAGAATTTTAATATCCAAGCTTTGAGAATTGGTGAAGGATAAATTAAAGCCATAAAGCCACTCCGAACTTAAAATATGTTGTTTCAACGCAGCCACCTTCTTGAAAATCTTGTCGAATTATTAGTTCCAGTGAAATATTCTTACGGCTTTTGCTAGATTTCTCTTGAAGATGAGCCACTCGATTTTTATTTAGAAACTTAATACGAAGCCAAAGTTAATTATAATAGTTCGTCTGTACATTTTAGACGAAGAGGGATATGGAACAGCATGTGCCAACCGCAACGAAAATATTTAATGAAGCAGGTATGTCATTTAAACGAGTTAATTGGTTACTTTTCTGATTTAAACAACTGGATAAGCGGTAGTGCTATGTTATCAATAAGACCTATAATTCTGTGTGAGGGCTTTTGTAGGGCAGAGATCCAAGGCGCCCAGTAATGACCACGTAGTCATGTCATTGGCTCGATCCTGAACTCACGCGCTTGAAGCCTTCCATCTGTCTAGCGTTCGCACCTTGGTACAAGACTTGTTTCAAAGGATAACCGCACTGACTTAGTTCATAAGTAGCCCACCTTAAGTCGTTGTATATGCCAGACGTGCATTCATCACCCGCTTTCAATGTTGAGACCTGATGAAGTTAAATGCATGGCACATTCCTCAGGAATGGGTTAACGCCAATGGTTACACCTTTTACGCCTTTCATCCTGGCCGAGCCTCTCTAAACTCAGAACTATGCACTGAAGTTTGTGCTCTATTTGGTGCTGTTAACTACTAATCGTACAGCGCAGTCATTAGAGGTGCTGTGCAATAGATTCAGAAACGTTGGTTCAGCCTCTTAGCCTCATTTTAAAAAGCCTAAAAGCTAAAGTGTCTTTGAAAGTTACTGTAACTATAGAATTTTTTGGTAACTGACTGGCAAAGGCCACAAAAATTACCGAGTTTCAAAATGTACCTTGCAGAGACAAGCATCTACTTTTTTTAACCCAGTAAATAGGTTGTGTGAGGATAATGTGACCATAGCACATTTAGTCATCAGAAAATATACCATACAAAGAATATACCAAATATACCGAGAGGAAGGCGCGTGTGGTGCAGTGGTTGGAGGCGCCACTGCGATACACACGTAGAATCGATCCCCACGCCCATGGCCCACCAAGCTATCCATCCCTCTGGGGTCGGCAAATTGTTACCAGACCTGTCTGGGAGAATAGCAGCACTGGCTTGATACATCGCTAGGCTACCGCGAGTTATTGTGAAGGCCAGATATGCACTCAATCACCTCCAACGGTACTTAATGAAGTTGAATGCATGGCTTATCCTCAGGGATTGATCAACGCCGAGAGCTTCGTCCTTTTATCCTTTATACCAAAAAAACTAAAGCTGCAGGCAACAAGATTTTTACACTTGTAGATACAATTTTTTAACACTGGTTAATAATTAATTAGAGCCACCACTGTCTCTATAGTTTTCTCACTGTGGGCTTTGGAATGGAACAGGAAGAACTTCATCTGTGTAAATCTCGTGAAAATCTTTCTAAATCTTCTTCTTCGTGTAAATCTTCAAATCTGGAGGATAAATGAATACAACCTCAGCGTTTGTCTGTTTATTAATAATGCTACATGAGCTACCTACTCCAGTGAGCTTTGTTAAGGAAATTAAATGCTTTATCTGCCCAGAGAGTGATCTCCTGGGCTCGCATAGGCACGAAGTCAATGTATTTATACTCCCTAACAGGTCTGCTATCTAACGGGTTCAGGGCAATGCGGAAATTGAGTTGCCTGGTGTACCAAACCGAACCAAAAACCTAGGTTGCATTGCATAGTGCATCTGACCACAATGCATTGAGCGCCGCATATCCTTCTGTTGTAGTTCCAAAAATCATAAAAAAGCTCACTTATGAGAAATTATTCAAGAAAGGTTTCGTTTTCTTTTTACGCAATTTGGAACTCAAATAGCAAAATTCTAGAGAAATACCTTAACATTCCAGCTAAGAAATACAACGTCGATCCACACAAGGCGTTCCAGATGCTCTCCACATTCTTCGAAAACTTCAAGAAAGGCGTAAACGGAAATATAGCTCAGCAGGGAATGAAGATGGCCGGAAATCTATTCGGAAAAAAGCAAACGTATTGATATTCTAATAACTGCTAAAAATCGATTTTGATGTGCGATAGGTGTTTCAAATAAATTTTCTAACACTCTTCTCCAGTTCTTTTCTGATTTTCCATATTTTCTTGCTTGCTTGCTTGAGTGGAAGGCCGACCTACATAAGTTGTGCAGATACCAGTACATTTTCTATTGGTTCCATTGCCTCCTTCACGGCGGTGGTTTGATTCGAGCGTGGTGGCGGGTGCTATTCTCATGCCATTATCTGTGCAACAACGGAAGCTGCGATTGCAGCCATTTGATTTTAGTCACAAATACGTCCTCTCAACATCCTAAGGGACTCTTGCATCCATCCTCGTGCGGTCCACTCTAATGTTGTTCTTGTCCATCTGTCGCCTGTTGTTCTCACTATATGAACGATCTACCTAACGTTCGTCATTGATATGTGTTCTCCAGCGTTTCGAATGTGGGATAAATTTCGAAGAACACAGATTCGCATTCTGGTTGCGTGTCCCAATTATATTTAGCAAAATATCATTCAAGCCCTCTGTAAGTAGTGCACAGTATTCTTGGCGTGGTTGAAGTATCAGCCCACGTCTCTACTGCATAAAAGAGCAATAGGAGGATTTTACTTTCCCATTTATAAAAAAGTAAATTACGCTGAACTAAGGCAGCAGTCTCTCATCCTAGAAAATACGTCCAATAGAATTTTCGCTTAAGGTCTCTTAGCGACTACACGCATTTTGACGGTTACCTTTTTAGCCATCTGTTAGACGAGTGGTTGACATGAAAATGAAGACGAAAGACGGTAAGTACAAGCATTCATTCAAAGTTTGATGAGGAACAGACGCTACACACTTTAGACGATCGATGATTCGGTGCTGGTTTGAGGTCAGCTAAAGATAAGACGTTCATTTTTACGGCAGCCAGCCTGTGCAAGCTATTATGTAAGCCAGACGTCTCATTAATATTTTTAATGACGCCAAACATGAAGCACGTTAAGTAACAACCTATAATGCTTGTATACGATTCGTCCTAAAACGTGGTTTTCAATGGTCAGGTGCCATAGTCACTCCTTCCACAACATAAAGGCCACTGATTGCATGTGATAAAGACCAACGCCCTAGGACAGCTACATCGGAATTGTTAGAAAGATCCCTGATTCACGTCTATGGAATGACTTGCGGCGGCTTGCCGATGTATCATGTCTGTGCTTTTATCAACCCTTCGAGAGCCTAGGAAGCGGGTACTAACGAACGATTCCGGACACATTGCAAGGGATCTTCATCCATTTCATTGTGCCCGCCCAAATTAGGCAATATATGGGTCATAAAGTCATAATTTATATTGCAATTTATACACACCATTCAGAGTCACTGCTCTTTTTTGATGGACCCGCTTTAAACGATACAGTATTCACCGTAACGATATCACCGCCACCTGTCGTCGCATATGCTTCGATCGTTGGCGAGTGCAACTGTTACGATCGTCAAACAGTTGCTTAGTTCAGGTCACCGCGCCACATTGGAGATGAAACACTTAGCGATTCTGCTTAATAAACAAAACATCAAAGATCACAAAGTTTTGCGACTTGCGAGGTTTATTTGAGCTCGGCATATGCCCAATAAACCTCATTGTTAATTTGAGCGAATTTTGCACGCGTGTATGTGAAACCGTTGTTGCCTTGGTGGCAGCAACGTATAGTCGTAGGTGGCAAATATTCTCCTCAGATCCATAAAGACCAGCGATTGTCTGTGATAACGACCTGAGACCGTCTTCTTAACAAAGCTGTTTGGTGACTACCTGAATAAAAGCTTACGAAAATGGCAGCATATCTATTGTATTAGAAATCGGATAGGCTAGTCGGCTATGCGTACATCTTTGATAACTCTTTGTCAATCCTCACTATTCTTAAAGGCTTTCTTCTGGTCTGAGAGAGGTGATATGGACTATTCATTTATTTCTAAACTCTATCAAAGATACTTCTAAAGGTTCAAAGCGTTGTGCTCAATAAAAGCTAAAAAGGATGAAGCCCTTGATGTTGATCAATCCCTGAGGGATGCGCCATGCATTCGTCTTCACTTGGCAACGTTGGAGGTGATTGAATGCATATCTGGCCTTTACAATGACTCGCAGTGGCCTGCCGTTGTATCGAGCCAGTGCTGCTATCCTCCCATACATGTCTGGTACCAATTTGCCGACAATGGAGAGATGGAAGGCTAAATGGCGACGAGCACGGGGATCGATTTTACATGTATAACGCAGGACGCCTCCGACCACTGCACCACACGCGCCTTGTGTGTTCAATAGCCTTTAACAATTGTACTGAAGTTCGATATAAGCTGAGAAAAGAACGGTTGAAATCGTTAGTGAGAGATCTTCTAAGCTTCCTTGTTTTCATACACTTTTTTTGTTAGTGAATCTACTACGTGTTTATCCATTTCCAATAAACATAGGCTTAGAGTCATCGTGCAAAAATGATGCTTAAGCGTTAGTTTAAAGCAGTAAGTACTAGAACAATCGATGCTTTCAGTCACTGAACTTTATTTGTTTAGCCACAACTACACGAACGAATGAGAAATAAACTATTACCACGATATGAATCAACCGAATTTATAGTGAAGAAGCTCGGAAAATGACTCTGACTTCGTAGACGTGAAGATTAACCATATACCAATACCATATAGCCAACAACAAAGCATATTGTTCGGCTCTAATGAGGGAGGTTTCGCCTCGGGCACAATCACGTCTTCACATGACGAAATTCAATTGTTTGTCGTCGTCAGATTACGGAACATATAAACGAATCAGTGCTTGGCCGCTGGCGTACATCCGTGCCTTTGTCTTCTTCTGGTCATCTATAACCTTCTCATTTCCTTCTTCTCACTCACCATCCACCACCAACCATCAACCACTTCCATAAAAATCGCCATCAATTACCGTATTCTGCCATCACTGAACAATTTAATCCTTCTGATGCCAAAAACAAGATGAATCTCACCCTATTATTATATGATCGAAAACCACTTCATAATGTTTTGCTTTTCATTTTCTGCCTACTACAGTTTTCGCGGCAGGGTACTAAGCGAAATACAACCATAATGTTGCTGAGATATTTGCAAAACTCTGGGTCCCAAGTGTCTAAGGTGGGGACAATAGCGCGTTCGTTCCCCACCTTAGACACCTGTGGTCCAGAGTTTTGCAAATATCTCAGCAACATTGTGTTCCTATTTCACTTTATAATGTTTTAACATTTATTCACTACCTATTCTTTTTCCATAGCAGCGTATGGTGTGAAATACAACCATAGGCGTTCAAAGAAACGAGGTGAACTCGGGGCCTCAGGTGTGCTTCGAACCCATAGTTAACCTTTTCCGGGAGTGACGTGCTATCCACCACACCAACCAAGGACCTTGGCTTGCCTTTCTCCTTTAAGGTAGTTTTTTTGGTCTTTTTGAAGTACAAACAATAAAGCCTTCGACGTTGATCTTCCCGATAGCGATGGTCTATAAGGCATCGATTCCACTAAGCATCGTATTGGAGATTTTGCCCATTACCTACACTCTGACTTGGGATGGTCCACTTAAACGCTATAGCCATACCAGACAAAGCTGGTACAAGCTTGTCGATCCAACGAGCTTAGTTTACGTGGGATTGAACTAACATCGAAGCGTAAATTATAGACCACCTAGAGCCGCTGCACCGTGTGCTAAACAGGAATTTCTTTGCTTGCTTTGTTTTATTCCATTCTTGGAAATAGAATCATTCTAAAAAAAATAAGGCAAAATATCTAGATTAAACCACCTTCTTTTATTTTTCAAACAAGCACCAAATCTCTGGAATTTGTTGTGCGATACAAAAAAAACTAAGGACCTTCTCATACGCAATAAGGTCATCTTTGAAACCTTAAGGGCCAAACTGAGCCGGATATAATTCAGGGGTAAAATAAAATAAAGAGTGGGAAAAAGAATAAAAGCAAGAACGATGTCGTCGCAACCAAGGAAACCCGTAGGAACGACGTGTAAAACGTTTCATCTTTATAGCGGCAAAGTTTCAAAGCACTTTTTTATGTTAACTTTTCCTTTCTCCCTATTCTTTGCTGTTCTGGCAAAACTGATAGAGTAAAAAATATCTAAGACAAAGGTAAAGCAAAAGCCTTGGTTGTTCTGGCGGATAACACGTGAGTCCCTGTATGGATGGATAATAACTGGTTCGAAGCCCACCTGAGGTTCCTAGTTTTGCCCATACCTCGGTATCTCCTCTGTTGTAGTTTTTTGTGTTGTTAATAAACTATCTACTACGACTTCTACAAGGACGCTCTGTATGAGCCGTCATGGGTAATACCTTCGCTACATTCAAGGACAACACCACCCATTAACTATGCCAAAGTGTTTCGCTTTCAAACGTTTCGAGTCTGACGACATGACCTTCGTAGTTCGACCACGCTCGGAATTTCTTGCCACAATTGATAAAGGTATTCTTCATTATGTCTTAAATACGACGCAAAGCGAAGAGCATTTCAGAAGTGGTGCTGTAAGTTACCGTTTTTCTTGCAGAACCATATCGAAACATTTCCATAGTGTGAATTACCATACTTATGCCGTCTATTCACTGTTCAAAGAGGAGCTCTGCGGAGCGCTTTCAACAAGAAGCCAAACAGCAATATTCGAGAAATAGCGACTACCTTTGTGAGTTGCAGATTTCATCTGAAAAAATAGCGACAAAGTTAGCTACGTCAATGTTCGTAGTCACTGAATATCGTTTCGTCAGCACAGGAACGATGTCTTGAAAGCCACTGTTCCAGAAGGAGGCGAGAGCTGGATTCCGTCTATTCAGAATAATGACCTTCAAAAGGGTTAGTGCTGGTATGCTAAGAAAAGCGAAACATTCGGGAGAAAGCTTTTACAATATTCTGAAGTCATGATAACCGGTATCATTGCATAATTCAAAATTTCTCAAACTCCAACCTCGTCGGATGGGTTCTCATGAGGGAAGCGAATTGCCCCATTAAATAAAAACGCCTCACA